AGAGGGAGAGAGAGAGAGAGAGATAAAGAAAGAGAGAGGGAGGAGGTGGGCAGGGCCCTTTTAAAAGGGAATAAATGGATGTGCACAGGAGGTGCTCTTAGTGGCTGCAGCTGAGGGCATATCCTGTCAGAGCCCCAAGGACAGGCCAGTACAGGTGCCTGAATATTTGAAAATAAGATTAGTTAAGCATCAACAAATATCTTAAGCTAAAGACTAAAGGGTCAGGGCTGGGAGATGACTATCAGCAAATCGTTTTTTTTGTTGTTGTTGTTTATTTGTTTTTGTTTTTGTTTTGCAAGTAGGGAAATAGGTTTGATGCCAGAACTGATGTAAAAAGCAAAGCAACAACAAAAAACTGGATGGTGTCAGGTGTTGTGGCAAACACCTTTATACCAGCAGTCAAGAAGCAGAGGTAGGTGAATCTCTGTGAGTTCAAGGCCAGCCAGGTCTAGGTAGCAAGTTACAGACCAGCACAAACTATGTAGTGAGACCTTGTCTCCAACAAAGGAACCTCTCCCTCCCTCCATCCCCCCTCCCTCTCTCTTCTCTCTCTCTCCTCTCTCCCTCTCTCTCTCTCTCTCTCTTTCCCTCTCTCTCTCTCTCTCTCACACACACACACACACACACTCACACACCCACAAACACACACAGAGGCAAAGGGCAACATGATGACAACTGTGCACATTTTGTTGAGATTAATGTTTTAAATCATCATTTAAGAATACATGATGATTTTACTAGTGTATTAGTTATAAATTATGTACCCATTTATTGATCAAAGATTTGTTAGTCTCACATTTTAGCATTTGCCAGCTTTACATTTGTTCACTTAGGATTTATTAGTTTCATATTTAATAGGCTGCAATAAATAATCTATTGTTAACTTCTTGGGCATTATAGTTGCTGTTAGTTTTAAAACAAGTTACTATTTATTAACTAAGAATGCATTTCTCTGATTTAAAAAAAAACAACCTTTAACTCATGTTATAATAAATAGTTCTCCTTTCCCTTCATTCCTCCCTATGTATCCATCTCTTCCCTGTTCTGTTGTTTTTGACGAAGGGTTTCATGTAGCCTAAGCTTTCCCCCAACTTGCATTGTATAGCTAAGGCCCACCTTTAGCTTCTGATCTTCCTGCCTCTACCACCCAAGTGCTGGAATTATAGGCCTGAACCACCATGGCCATCCTAAGTTTCTCATTCTGGAAAATAAATATACTTTTTTTTTCACTGAATTTCCTAGCCTTGTGTGAAGATGACCCCTTCCTTACCTTTCCCTGTGATACCAGATCATTGTTTTTCCCCACATTTTAAAGAAACTCAAATTCTGATTGTATCTGATGGCTTTAATTAAGCCAGCAAGGTGTTTTCTCTGTTACTGTGATGGGAGATGCATGAGACTTACCATCTGCAATGTCATCATAGATTTCTCCATCACTGGAAAGACACACATACAAAAAAAACAAAAAACAAAAAACAAAAAAACAATTTTTATTGTGTGGAAAGTATCTTCCCAACATTAATATATAGAAGCTAGCAACAATATGATTGCCACATATCAGAAACATTTAGAGGTGAAAAGTGAAGCTATGCATGTGTATGTGTAAGTGGACAAAGATTTTACATTCATCTCTACATTTTCTTTCCCTGGCTCTACCGACTCCCAGTTCATTCTGCAAATAGAAGAATAGACACATGCCTCGAGGGCACAGATCATGTCCTACTTTGAGCATTGCCATGGGCAGTGCCCATCTGAACTCCCTAAGAACGAGGTGCAGAGCTAAACAAACTAAATTGCCAAGGCAAAACCCTCTTCCAGGTGCCTCAATCCAAAAGTGCAATGAATTTTAACAGTTATTAGTACTAGATTCATACCTTTAGTTGTTTCAAATGCTTAAAAATTTAAATGACTGGAATATATTTGACACGGGAAATGGCTATACTGTTTTCTTCTGTTTCTAGTTTCAAGTATTTAAATTCTAATTATGGAATATACAGTCATAGAATTTTTATATTATTGTGAAGATCACATCTACTGCAGTAATTTTGACTACTTTTGTATATTTTCAGGTTTTGCTGAGCCCTGTAGCTTTATGCAGTATTCTGTTAACAAACACTGAGTGCTCTGATGCGCTGGTAGGCACAAATACGAGTCTGAGGTAAGAATTGATAGTGAAAGTGCATAGTCTAATGAATAATTTATAAATGATATAATAATATAAGTATAAATACAATCTTGAGATGTAGGAAACAGTTCTAAGCTTCCGAGCTGTGAGGTAGCTGTGTCACTTAGGGTGAGACATGCTCTTGCTTCCTGCCCTATATCTGGGCCTTATCACAGCAGCAGCAGCAGTTCCCTTGTTCCTGCCAACTGTGGCAGATGCTGTGAGCTCCCTATGTCTTCTGTTTGGATCCTTTCTCTGAGGTGGAGGGAGCATTTGGCTAATAGAAATCTGATGTGAATGCAAAGAGGACAGATTTTCCTGCTGTTTCTCCCATAAATGTTTATTGATAAATGTATTTTAATAGATAGTGAACCAATGGTCACTTAAGGGTCCTTTCTCCATTTTCTTTTAACCATCCTGCAGTCACCTGAAACACATTCCTTCCATAAAATTCACATCTTTTTTAGAACAAAACCTATCAGAAGTCCCATGCCCACCACTGTAATACTTATGCTGAAGAAAACAAAGATGTTAGGGTCGTTTTCCTGTCTGCCCTCATTGGTGTGCTGGCAGAACTCTTAACATGCATTGCCCTATTCACACATGTGTCCTTTGTTTATGCTAAATGATTTGTGAATTCTTTCATTTTGGCAGTTTTACAAATATTTCTATTGCTCAACCTGATAGTAGGGTTGATTTTCTGCTCTGGGTTTCTTGGTGTAGAATCTTAAAGTGTTTTAGAGGAGTCCAAGGGCTTACAAGTACCAGGCTGTGACAGACTGTGAAAAGATCTTATTCATAAGAATACAAGAGTCATTGATTACTATCTTTTGAGGGGCATACTTTCAATAAGGCAACATAATAGAGCACTGTGCTTGGTGTGAGTATAGCAAAATCTTCAGTTAGGAGCTAAACTATGAGCAATTATTAACTGGTGACGTTAGTACCTACAACACCCACCATTTGGTTCTAATTAGTCCAGCTCTAATACTGTAATAATTAATAAGCAAAATGCAAACAATTAGCAAAAAGGGTAGTGGCTTTGCCTAGTGTGTCTTCAGTGTTTGCTGAACAGACAGCTCAATGAGTACTTAAGATTATTCCCCATGAGTGAGCCAGGCTACCTTGCTAATTCTGACTAGCATATTCAGCTTTGTTATTGATACAAATATAGTACATTGTTTTCAATTTATTATCATAGTCCAATCCATTGCATTCTGGAAATAATATTAGTACTTTTTCCTTAAGGAAACCATAAGATTCTTTTTTAAAAATACAGCAATAGAAGAAAATGGCCTTACTTGTCCACCAGGTAACTCCGAAGGACATAACCATCTGTAAAGGGAAAAGAAAATGCATTTTAGTTACAGATACAGCTTTGAAAATATTTAATGTTTAGTTTCACAAGTTGATATACAAGTGAATAATTATTATAAGATAATGTACTGAGGGACTGGCTGGAGAGATGGCTTAGTGGTTAAGAGCCCCTTCTTATCCACAGCACCCACTGTGATGCCCAGAGTCACATCAAATATCTCATAATTTCCTGTAACTCCAGTGCCAGGGGCTCTTAGGCCCTATTCTGACCTCGGCAGGCACCCACTCATGACACACCCTACACAGACACAGCAATAAAAATTTTTAAATCTTTAAAAAGATATATTGAAGAATATCATCTATGTAGAGCATGCTTATAGAGTAATTTGCTCATGCTTATACCACATTTCCCCCACGTCTTAGCATCTCTCACCAACCCCTTTCCTATCCTATTTTTTCTTTTTATTAACTTTTTAAAGACAGCATAAAAGGCAGCTTCACTCTGGTATTTTCATACATAAATCCTTACACTTTTGTGTAATTGATCCCCTTCTCTGGCTGCCTTTCCTATGTCTCCTGCCCTTCTCTTAGTGGTTCCTTTCTCCTTCCAAATACTTTCCCTTCCATTTTCATGTCACACAACTTCCATTACCCTTTCCCTTTCTCTAAGGTCCCCTTCTCCGCTCTCATGCTCTTCTTCCTAGGCCCCTTTGCCACATACACACTTACATATAGGCTCCATCTGTGAGAGAAAAATATGGCGTTTATCTTTCTGAATTGGGTTTATTTGGTTTAATATAGTCATTTTGAGGTCAGAACACAACTGGCAGAAGTTTGTTTTCTCCTCCTACAATGTGAGTTGAAGGAATTGAACTCAGGTTGCCTTAGCAGTATACATGCAAAATTATAAACTGTTGATAAAGGCTATTAAATATTGATATTTAATAATATTAAATGTTTCTATTAAAAATCCCCTGGAAGAGCCGGGTGGTGGTGGCACACATCTTTAGTCCCAACACTCGGGAGGCAGCAGCATGCAGATCTCTGTGAGTTCGAGACCAGCCTGGTCTACAAGAGATAGTTCCAGGACAGCCTCCAAAAGCCACAGAGAAACCCTGTCTTGAAAAACCAAAACAGAAAAAAAAAATCCCCTGAAAGATTATAATAAACTTTGTGAAAGGAAAATTAAAGATCATTTAACCACCTTCTTGAAGATTATTATTTGCTGATGCTTTTGGGTGATTTACTTTTCAATTAAATTACTTTTAACTTAAAACTCAATTATGATAAAAATTCTCAGACCTGATTAAGCCACTACTAAGAGTCCTTTACATGGTCAAAGTTAATAATTCATAAAACACAGCTCAACTTTATGAGTTAATTACAAAAGCTATATTCTCTTACACTCTCACACTCTTAGTGTGTTCCCTCCTATATCTACCTTGCTCACAAGCTCTAAACAATGTCTTTCTCTTGTGTGGTTGATTCCTTTGCAGATACAATTGCTCAGTTCTGTTCCTGTTCTTTTCTCTCTCCCTCTCTACCTTTCTTTCTCTGTGCATATGTGAAGGAATGAAGGGAGATATCAATGACTGAATATTTAAGGAAATGTAAGTGGTCACATGTAGGGTGAGGCTGTCCCACTCTATTTTAGTTCCATGATAATGTGATAATTTAGAACCACTCACTAACTATAAAATCACTTATCCAGTGTTTTTACAGGATTGCTGACTTTTAATGTAGCATAGGCTTTGCTGTTTAGTGCTTTCAAGTGTTAAAAGTTTATTCTATTATTCAAGGACGGTTCGAGATAGCGTCAAGACACGTGACTTACCATGGATTGTTATGTAATTTTGGCAGTATAGTTCCTAGAAATTCTTTTTTATGCAGGAAGAAAATGTTCTAGTTGTTCACATGGCTCATATTCACTTACCAATATGGGATATTAATAGAAATATGAAAAACCCACAAAACGAAACAAAATCATGGTTATGGTGCAGAACGGCTGCTATGTTTAGCCTTACAAAGTTATGAGAGCTGATTCTCCCAGGATTCTCACATGTCACACAGAGTTGTTATTTGGAAGCCTCCCGCTCACGGAGCAGAACACAGTGGTTGGAACAAATGTCTTGAAATATGTTGTGGGGTAGAATAGTTGGGAACGTAACACTCATCCCCCGTATGTGCCAGTCAGTTTCCTCCTAAAATGTTTGCTTACTATGGGGTAGATGTGTCTCAGGACTAACAGCTCACCTGTGAGAAGACATTAGAAGTACGGAATTTCCAAGGAAATAGACAATAGCCTTGGAAAAATAGAAATTAACTTGATTTTGTAGTTTCAATTTTTCCTCCATTGAAATGACTGTCTGTTATTGATTACTTCATTTGTTGTATTTGCAGAAAATAAAGTTAAGTGACTGAACTTGGCCTGCTGCAGTGAAAAACATGACTGTATTGTATGGACTTGCTCAGGCGAGTGAACTAATGGCAAACCTGAAGGGAAACGAGACACTATGAATGGTGTATAATACCGAATGTGATTTATTCTTTTGGTTTTCACAAGAACTAATCTATTTCTTTTTCTTCTCTGACTCTCTCTTTGTATTGTTTCTGAGGCTTTCTGCTAGAACAACTTTAAACATTTCATTCATTCATTCATTCATTCGTTCATTCATTTAATTTTTACTCTTTAAGGTGAATTTTCACTACATCATCCAGACAGTCCTTGAACACGTAATTTCACCTGCTGTTCCTCAGTCAGCCTCCTAAGTACTGGAATTTTAGGTGTGTGCTAACACAGCTGGTCCACACTGACTTTTTAAGTTTCTGAATAATTTTTTTCAATGAGCGTGCATTGTTAAAACAAAACAAAAAAAAAAAAACTTAAAGAAATGATCAACTAGATTTGCGACAATGCCCAGCCATTTGAAATCTCTTTTCTGATGCCTAAAGGAAACAGAACATTTATAGCCCAAATAACTCTTTTTTTTATGCCTCATTTTTTTCTTTATAAAGTTTTTCTACAGTGACAGGAGGTGGGGAAACTCTCAGCTCATGAGCATCAGATTGTAGAACTGTGCTAATATTAGCTAGCAATTTTAAACATTTGAGAATTGCCAGAAATATATATATTTAAGATGCCACTGCCTACACAGTTCTCACTTGCAGAGTGGGTGAGACCCGGGTGAATGCAATAATGTCTACACCAGAGGCTTTTGCTCCACACAGTGACAAAGGGATTCTTTACACTTTAACCTCTCATAAACTTTAGGTCACATTCTTTTCTCTGTCATATGTTCAAGAAGAATGGAGACTGGGGAAAACATTAGTCATGCTGGTGCTGAACTACAAAATGTCATTGCTGGTCATGAGAAGATGTAAAAATAAGGGACAGCTTTAGAGTCCTTAATGATCCACAAGCTAACAGTGCTCACCAGGCCAAGCCAGAGAACTGACTTCTGTCTGGTTGATCAACTAGAAATCTAGAGTATTCCTTTGAATCTACCAAGCCCCATTCAAGGTGTGAGACACTATACCAGGGCTGACAATCCAACATCAAGAACACTTTTATGAAGTTCTGCACAAGCCCAAAGCCTAAGAAGAGCTGCAAATTAGTGAAACAAACCACTCAGAAGTCCAAGTAGTGGAGTTGGGGAGAGACTCATCATGCTGGGGTAGCTGGTAGTAGGGGGTAAGGATGCTTCCAATTTAAGATGGTCACTGTGTTGTTTGTAGTGGGCAATTATGTATTCCAAGTCAAATATAATAGCACAGTGGGATGAAGAAGCATAATTTATGCAGGGAAAGACAAACATGTACTTTACTTTTGGATGTTCATTCTAGACAGCAAACTGCAGTTGCTGTCCATAGGCTGAATCAGGAAGGGCATTTGTCATATGCTATCCTAAATACTGTGTGTGTTTTAGAAAATATCTGTTTAACATAGGAGTGGATTAGCTTCTTGAGAATGTGGGAAAGATGGATACCATTTTCAAGGCCATTTGTGGTAACCTAGAGGAGGGAGGGATAAATTTCCACAGCAGTCATTCCAAGTCTTAGTGAGTGTATGGATAATAGATTAGAAATTAAGAATGATCAAAAGTAGGAGGTTTGAAAAGACAAAAAGTGAAATCAAATAGGTACACCAATTCAATCATTCTGAGATAATACTTAATCTGAAAGCTAGTCTCAAATACTCTTCATGCCCCTCCCACTCCAACTACTTGAGTACCCATTGGTTCCAGTTTCTGCAAATATTTAACCATTTTCTTCTATTTATGGAGGGCTTTTCTCTGGCTTCCAGAACTCTCTGTTAGCTTGCTCAACACCCTGATTTTCTGCTTCCTACTTGGTGGGATGGTAACTGGTTATGTCACAGCAGCTTTGGAGCTCAATTATACAGGTGCTGGCCATTTTTTTTTATAACAACACTTCCTTGCCTGCCTTCTCTAATCTAACCTTCTCATTTAAAATTTACTTTGATTTTTAAGTGTGTGTGTGTGTGTGTGTGTGTGTGTGTGTGTGTGTGTGTGTGTGTGTGTGTATTGTGTATTGTGTGCACAAGAGCTCAGGTGCCTGTGTAAGCCAGAAGACGACGTTGGATCCCCTGGAGCTGAGGTTACAGTTAGTTGTGAGCTGAGGTGTGTTGTGGGTGCTGGGAACCAAACTTGGGTCCTCTAGAAGAGCAGTAAGCACTCTCAACTGCTGAGCCATCTCTCTAGTCCCACACTGTAGTCACCTTTGAGATAAGGAAGTCAAACTAAAACAAAGTTCAGCCTAAGAAAAGTCTTTATGATGAACAAAACACCCCAGGAGTGTGTGAGAGATATTTACACAGTCATTCTGTTTGAAGTAAAACTTTCAGAGTATCTAGAACTGAAGTGGTTATCAGTGAGTTTAGAAATCACAAATACATTAGTGAGAAAGAAAATTGACATGAAATTCTTGATTGGAGTGTACCTTAATTTTAAGCAATGTTCCCACTGGCATTTCAAGCCTGTATTCTGCTACTAAGCAGCACTCACAACCTCCACTCACTGTCATTTTTACAAGATGATGAAGGAACAGTGAGCTCAAGAGGAATAATCTTCCCTAGGAAGAGCATACCAATTGGTTATCTAATACCAAATGGTCAGCCCTGAAAACATACATGCACATGACTTTATAAAGACTGAGAAGGTTATACTACACAGACACAGACACACACACACACACTTAAAGAAAAAGAGGCCATGAATTTGAATGAAGGTAATGGGGGTACTAAGGAGAGGTTGGAGATAGTAAAGCCAGGGAGGGAAATGATGTAATTATATTACAATCTCAAAAGCCCCCAAAAGACTTTAAAAATAGAATTTATTGATTGCAGCACACCAGAATCTCCAGTTTTTTAAACATGTCTGACAACTCATGAACCACAGAACAAAATGAGTTAGTAGAGATGAGTGATCGCTGTGGCCCCACTGGCTGTTAGATGCGCAGTGTGGGTTCAGCAGGGGACTTACATTTGCCTTCCTCATTCCTGCAGAGAACTTTGGTGTCATCTGTGTTTTGAATAACTTCAAGAGATTCCCCGGGTTTTATCTGCAGATCTCTAGCTCCCCACTTTTTAGAAGTTATGGAGGAAGCAACTTTCGTTGAATAGAGAACTCGAATTTCACCATCATACTGAAAATAAAAATAAAAATTACTGATATGTATTCCCACAGTAATTCATTTATTGACCTATTTATTAAGACTTTTTTTTTCTGGACATGTCTGTGGGGGTTACCTTGATTATGTTAATTAACAGAGGAAGAACTATGTTAATTATGAGTGGAACTGTTCCTTGGACAGGGGACCCTGGACTGGAGTGAAGTTGAGGTAACAAGATAAGCACTTGCATGCATGCATTTGTGTCTCTGTGCCTTGTGACTGCAGATACAATGAGACCAGCCCCATTAAACTCTGTGACTTCTCCATGGCAGACTGTAGTCAAGAACTGTGAACCAAAAGAAAAGCCTTGTCCTTCAAGGTGCTTTTATCTGGGGATATTTTTAAAATTTAAATTAGAAACAAGCCTGCTTCACACATCAATCCCTCTCCTTCCTTCCTCCCCCTCCCCCTACTAATCCTCCACTCCATCCCCCCTCTGCTCCCCAGGGAGGGTGAGACCCTCCATGGGGGATCCTCAAAGTCTGTCATATCAACCGGGCCTGGGCCTAGGCCCTTGGGGATTTTATTATAGCCATGAGACAATAACTAAGACAACTCATAACCTCACCAACTTTACATAACTAATATGTATAGATTATCACTGTATCAAAGGTCTAAGAACATCTAAATTTAAGTAGTTATCATAGCATGGTGGATATTAGCATGCATGCTTGCTTGCTTAATTTATTGTAGGAATAAATTTAAATTTACAATGTATTTGGAACAAAGAAAAGTTATAACAGATACTGCTAATATTGTTAACCATATTTTAAAAGTATTTTGTCATTTTGGAATTTTTTTGGAATTTTTTTTCAATTAATACTTTGAACTCTGAATTGTATTAAATATTACATACCTTAAATTTTTTCCTGAGCTCTTTTTCTTCTTTTTCCTGCTTTTTTAGCTTCTTAGGATCTTTTTCTTCTGTTTTTGCCTTTCCAATATTAATTCCTTGACTAGGGTAATGAAACACACATAAATCAACACTTTTAGAAATAGAAAAGAATGGATCATAACAGAGAGTTAATCCTCTGCTTTTCTTTGTTTGTTTGTTTCATTTTTCAAGACAGGGTTTCTCTGTGTAGACTCCCCTGGCTCTCCTAGAACTTCCTCTGTAGACTAGGCTGGTATTGAACTCATAGAGATCTGCCTACCTCTGCTTCCCAATTGCCAGGATTAAAGGTGTGTGCCACTACTGCCCAGCCTGAGGAGTCTTGCTGGTGGGAGTGCGAACTTGTAAGACCAGTCTGGAAATCAGTATGGTGATTGCTCAGAAAAATGGGAATCAGTCTACCTCAAGATCCAGCCATTCCTCTCTTGGGTATATACCCAAATAGTGCATATTCATACAACAAGGACATATGTTCAACCATGTTCATAGCAGCATTGTTTGTGATAGCCAGAACCTGGAAGCAACCTAGATGCCCCTCAACTGAAGAATGGATTGAGAAAATGTGTACATTTATACAGTGGAGTACTACTCAGTAGAAAAAAGCAATGGAATCTTGAAATTCACAGGCAAATGGATGGAACTAGAAGAAACCATCCTGAGTGAGGTAACCCAGTCACAAAAAGACAAACAGGGTATGTACTCACTCATATATGAATTTTAGACATAGAGCAAAGGATTACTAGCCTATAATTCTCTTCAGCAAAGAAACTAGGAAACATGAAGGACTCCAAGGTATAAATGGTCCCCAGGAATGGGAAGTGGCATGAACTCCTAAGCTAATTGGGAGCATGAGGGTAGGGGAGAGAGCTGCTACAATAAGAGCAAGAGAAGTGGAGTAGAGGAGAGGAAATGGAGGAGCATAAATATTGAGTTGGGGGAAGAATAGAGGAGAGAGAGCAGGATGAGAGATACCATATCAGAGGGAGCCACTATAGGTCCGAGAAGAGATCTGGAACTAGGGAGATCTCCAGAGACCTACAAGGATGACACGATCTGACAATCCAGGCAATGGTGGAGAGGATAACCTAAAAGCCCTTCCCCTAAAATGAGA